TTCAAGATCAACCTGGCCAACATGTTGAAACCCTTTCTCTACTAAAAATACAAAAGTTAGCCAGGTATGGTGAGGCACACCTGTAATCCCAGCTATTCAGGAGGCTGAGGTGAGAGAATTGCTTGAACCTGGTGGGGCGGGGTGCGCAGGTTGCAGTGAGCTGACATCATGCCACTGCACTTCAGTCGGGGCGACAGAACGAGCCATCTCAAAAAAAAAAAGAGGTAAATACAAAGGGAGATGGCAGATTATGTAGGAGGTATGGCCACAGCAAATTTGCTGCTGGGGTGACCTGGAGGCAGCAGGTCCTGGTCCTGATTTTTAAAAGTTGCAAATATCAGAAATGGGTTAGGGCAGGTGACAATTTTCCTGCCATTCTTAACATTTGCATTTGAGGTTACCAACCTATTATTTTGGGGATTTTTTTTTTTTTTTAATGGAGTCTCCCTCTTTCGCCCAGCATAGAGTGCAGTGGCGTGATCTTGGCTCACTGCAACCTTCGCCTTCCAAGTTCAAGCGATTCTCCTGGCTTCAGCCTCCTGAGTAGCTGGGATTACAGATATGTGCCACTACATCCAGCTAATTTGTATATTTTTAGTAGAGATGGAGTTTCACCATGTTGGCCAGGCTGGTCTCAAACTCCTGACCTCAGGTGATCCACCCGCCTCAGCCTCCCAAAGTCCTGGGATTACAGGTGGGAGCCACCATGTCTGGCTATTATTTTCTATTGATCTGCCTATTGATAAGTCACTTCCATTCTCTGTTATTTTAGTTTTATTTTTATGATGCTGAGTCTTTGAGGTCGTTGTTGGTGCTATTTGCCAGCATTTGTCAATGAGATGTGAGCAGAATTGATATGTTATTTCTGTGCTGAGCTTGTCNCTCTTGTTGCCCAGGCTGGAGTGCAGTAGCACGATCTCACCTCACTGCAACCTCTGCCTCCTGGGTTCAAGCTATTCTCCTGCCTCAGCCTCCCAAGTAGCTGGGATTACAGGCACCCGCCACCATGCCTGGCTAATTTTTTTATTTTTAGTAGAGATGAGGTTTCACCATCTTGGTCAGGCTGGTCTTGAACACCTGATCTCGTGATCCACCCACCTCGGCCTTCCAAAGTGCTGGGATTACAGGCATGAGCCACTGTACCCGGGCGAACATTCTTTTTTTTTTTTCTCTTTCTTTTGAAATTCTCGCTCTGTTGCCCAGACTGTAGTGCAGTGGCGCGATCTTGGCTCACTGCAACCTCCACCTCCCTGTTCAAAAGATCCCCCTGCCTCAGTATCCTGAGTAGCTAGGATTACAGGTGCCCGCCACCACGCCCAGCGAACTTTTTGTATTTTTAGTAGAGAGGAGGTTTCACCAAGTTGGCCAGGCTGGTCTCACACTCCTTTCCTCGGGTGAGCCACCCGCCTCAGCCTCCCAAAGTGCTGGGATTACAGGCATGAGCCACCGCGCTGGGCCAAAAAGCCACCCCACTGAGGGGCAAGGCAGGGGTGAATAGCAGTGAGAAGCTCCTAGCAGATGCCCTCCCCACTCCCCTGCATGGCCTGCTGAAAGAGTTCTGCCCTCTCCAGGGCCCCTTCTCAGTTTTGGCTGCACATTGGAAGCATCTGGGGACCTTACAAATGCTTACATCTGGGTCCCACCCTGGAGATTCTGGTCTGATTGGTCCAGGGTGCAGCCCAGCAGCGGGACTTTCAGGAGCCTCCAGGTGACTGTCAAGCTGGGGCAAACCTCACTCGGCTTCTCAGGCCTGGCGCTCCCCCAGTAGGGGGGTCCTGCCTGCCCCAGACATTGCCCCTCTTTCCCCCAGCACAGGTCTGGGGCACACAGCTACAGTCCCCGCCTGTCGGCCCAAAGCTCGAGGCTGATCCTGGGAGAGAAGGCTGATTCCCCTAATTCTGTGCCCGTGCCTTGTTCCCCCAATGGTGGGGTCCATGGAGAGGGAGGGGGTGGACAGTGGGGAGAGGGAAGGGGGAATTGCCTTCGGGGTGAAGGGAATTGGGGTGGCCCTCAGCCAGGCTTCCCGGACCCTGCAGGCTGCGTGCCCTTCTGCAGTATTTAGAATAATTAGCAAGTGAAAGCAGCCGGTTAGCAGGGGAATGCCAGGTTGGCCTAGAGCCAGCCTAGAGGACGGAGAAAGAAAGGGGCTTTGGGAGAAAGGGGTCCGTGGAGGCTGGGCAGGAATGCTCAGGACGTTGCCTGTTTGTGCCCCTGTGTGTGTGTGCTCGTTTGCACACCTGCGTGAGAGGAATTGGCTCTCCCGAGGGTGTGTATGTGGTGGGGACTGAGTGGGGAGGTGGCTCCCGGGCAAAGCAAGGGGGAGGGGACTGAAAGGCACCAGCTAAGTGTCACCCAGACACAAGTATCCTGTGTCTCAGTTCCCCTGTCAGAACTCTGCTGGTCGGTTCCTGCCAGTGTGGGTGGGAGAGGTGGTCTGAGCTCCTTTCCCTGGTGGCCTTTGTCCTCCACAGACCTGCATTGGGCCAGGTTGGGTGGGAAGTGGGGGCCCTGGGGCTGGATCCCTCCTGGAGAGGACCATGGGGAAGAGGTGCTGGAGGCCAGCCCAGGTCGGGATGGCAGACTGGGGCGGGCGGGCCCGGGCAGGCCCTCGCAGCGGGGGACGGCAGGGGCCAAGCCCAGGGCACACTTAGCCTTTGAGATTCCCTGGGTCTGGGGGTGGGGGCCACTCCTCCCTTTGTCTCCAGATCCCCCTGGGCTTTGGGCCCAAGTCTTCCCATTGCAGGGATGGAAGCACTGAGACCCAGGCTGCAGGGGACATCCGAGAGCCACCCCTTAGCCTCTTCCTCCCTGGGGACGCTGAAGTCGTGGGGTTCGTCAGGGGTCTTTGCAGGCCCTCAGTGCCCCCCGAATCTTCCTCTCAGCCACCCCACCCTCGCCTCCAGCAAAGAGAAGTTCGACCCCTCCAGAACACCGGGCCCTCACCTGTTCCCAAAGACGGTTTTGTGCAGGTCCATTTTTAGATCTTTTAAAATTTTATTTTTAAAAACTTTTCATTGTAAATAACTTTTCATGAAAAAGGTTAAATTGCTCCACGGGGCGGGAGGGTGGATGCAGGACCCAGGGGGTCTGGGTGGAGCACGCCCCCCGCCCCCGGGAGTGCAGGCAGGGGTGCGGGGTACCCCCATTTCTTGGTCCCAGTAGTTCCAGCAAGCTCATTGTCCCTCCCAGTGAAGCCTCAGCTATAGCTACACTCACTACATTAGTCTGTCTGTCCCGCCCCCTACAGCTTGGCTGCCCCTGCCCCAAACCCCCAGACCCAGACTTCTGCTGCTCTCAGCCTCAAGTCTTAAAGATTAGGGATTTACATCCCCGCCCCACCCCCTAGGGATGGGGCCAGGTGAAGACCCCAGAGGCCTTAGAGAGGATCTCCTTGCCCCACCCTGTGCCCCCACCTCATCTTGGTCTCCTCTCTCTGCCCCCTCCCCCAGTCCATCTTCTACCCTGCTCCGCCTCATCCACCGCCTGCCCCGGCCCCACGGAGGCTCTGCCAGGAGAAGCCTCCAGGGGATTAATTTGCTGTCATCTAATTAGCATTTGTTGTACCTGGGGACTCTCTCTGGATAGAGACCTGGGGAAGCTGGGGTGGGGGGTGGGAAGGGGACAGTGGAGGTGCTCTGGGAGGGCCCGGTTTTTTTCCTCCCCACCCTGACCCGGGCCCCTCCAGGCCTCGGCTCTCCTGGTGCAGGCCCTTTAGCCGGTTTCTGGGGCTGGGAAGACGGGGAGCAAGGAAACACTGTGTGTACAAGGCGGGTTGGGGAGGAGGCAGCGATTCTGGTCCTGGGCCCTCGTTCTCAGCCTCCTGGGCTTGAATCTGATGGCAGCGGGGCTGGTGGCCATGTGGCCTTGTGGGACCAGCCTTGGAGCCCTGGCCCAGCCCCTGCCTGGATGGTAGGGTGTTCACGGACCTGTGTTGGGGGCAGTTCTGGGCCCTGACTTGGGCACTGTCCGGAGGTGGGGTGGGGCCTGGCCTCTTACAAGAAGGCGCCCACGCTGGCCCAGTCCTGCAGGTCGGAGGCCAGGGTGGTGTCCCCGGCCTCAAAGAGGGGCTCCGGGGGCAGGCAGCCGCTGCCACTCTCGTCCCAGGGGTGCTGCAGGAAGGATGTGGCCAGGAAGGTCTCGTCGAAGTCTAGGCTGTCGGCAGCCTGCTCCACCGAAGGCCCCCAGGTGGCGGGGCAGTCGATGTGGTGGCCGTGGACAGTGAGGTCCACGTCCACGTGCGAGGCGGGGCTCAGTGGTGGGCTCAGCTCCAGGGCTCCCAGAGCACCCAGCTCCCCGCCCAGAGTGCTGGCATCGAAGATGGCCTCCCAGTCAAAGTTGCCTTTGAGGGGTTCCAGCTCACCCTGCTCCTCTGGGGTGGGCAGCAGGGTGCTGAGGGGCCGCGGGACCTTGGCCACCCGCTTGGGCAGGGGCTGTTTGCGCTTATGCCCCAGCCTGCCCTCGCCCGCACCCCAGCCCGCCTCCCCAGTGGCCTCCTCGAACTCCCGCAGCAGCTGCTGGGCCTCGGTGTTCACCGTCAGCGGCCTGGCCTGGGGGACAGCGCTGGGCTCCTGCGCGGCCTGGCGGGCAAAGGCCGGGTGGATGTGTACCGGGGGCAGTCGCCGCTTCTTGAAGGCCCCGCTCAGCAGCCGCTCCGCGTACTGGGGGTCAATGCGCCAGAAGCCCCCCTTGCCTGGCTCATCCTTCTCCCGAGGCACCTTGATGAAGCACTTGTTCAGAGACAGGTTGTGACGGATGGAATTCTGGGCACAGGGAGAGAGCGAGACAGAAAGAGCAACCGCTGGGTCAGTGGGGACAGGGCAATGAAGTGGCACCTAGCCCTCCTGCACACCCCCCACCTTCTCTCCGGCAGGGGAGGGGAGGGGGGGACACATACGCTGCTCTGCCCAGGCGGCTGCAGCTCTGGGACACCAGCCACAGGGCACTGGGAGCCCGGAGTGCTGTCGGGGGCTTTTGTTCCCTGTTGCCGGGATATCTGCCTGCTCAGTCATCCGAGCTCTGAGCCGCAGGGTGGCTCTCCGTGCCACCCCCGTCGCCTGCCCTCCCTCCCTCACCCTGCTGCTCACAATCTCTGGCCAAAGCCCTCCGCTCCCCCAGGGCCTGGACCGCCATCTCCCTCTGCCTGGGCCTGGCTGGCCCTCTCTGTGAGTGAGTGGGTCCAGGGAGGGGGCTGGGCAGCTAAGGATGGAGAGGTGGGGGGGGGTGGGGGG